CCAGTGAACAATATATAATACTAATATATATATGAAGGAGAACAGGCGAATATACATACCACAGCAGTCGTGGTCATCGCGTTGTCAAGTTCTGATCTTGCACAGAGCTTCCTATCCAACCCCCCTGCTCCCAACTCGGCTCTCCAGATAAGGAAACACATTATGTCTATGCTCTATCAAGAAGCAGTTAAGCAGCCCACCATAACCTCAAAACAAATGGCGCAAATCAGAAGACGAGGTCACTGTGCTGCTGAAGGCTCCATTGGGCTGAAATTTTATCACAGCCTCCTGAAAATGGTGCGATTGTCACTAAGTACGGCGATTGTTGCCTTAAAATGCGTATTTCCTTGCAGAAAAAGAAATCTGAAAGCTTTACATTGTTTAATGACTAATTGCTGTTCAGGGTGTTAGGATATGAGACAGAAAAATCGTAAGACGAGCCAAGAAGAAAGCTGCACATACAGTCATAATTTCAAGACGGAGGATGATTGCAGAGACCAAAAAGCCAGTAAATCTCAAATAAACTGGGACACTGGTTAACATGGCTGCTGTTCATAGTAGCTGGCGAAGTGCACTTGCATTTATTTGCAGTGATTAATTAGCTAAGCCATAACCCTTAATTTGTTCCCTTCAAATAATCCAGTAAACAAACTAATGCTTGAGTCTGGAAAACATAAAATATTTAAAACCAGAGACAAGGAATTGAGCAAAAATTTTAAAAACAACCAAAAAAGCCTCCGAAAATCTAGCACTTAGCACAGTCGGGACTTTTTCTCCTTGAGCTTTCATCAGTTGTGTGCGTCCAGTATGCAGACACTGTGGAACTTCCAGGCATTTTAGCCACTCTGTGTCAGACAGAAGTAAAGCAAATTCATTTTCAGCAGAAGGACTGGATCAGCTTATCAGAATCAAATGGTTTGGACAAACGTAACCATGAAGCTCAGTGGTGCTACATCATTGCCAATCAGCACAATGAAGAGGAGCCAAACTGCTACTTGCACTTCATGCAGTGGATCTAAGCGCTGGAACTGTTGCTCTGCAGTCACCACAACTTCATAAGAAACGTTCTCATAGCACCCCATCTTTTCTGACATACCCCACATAACTATCATGTCAGTTCTGGAGAATTATTTGAAAATTTTCTAATGAAATGCATGAGGGATAATCACATCAACAAGTTAAATCGGCAACTGTAGAGCTACGCCATGGACAAATCACATCAGATCACCCTTCCTTGTATGAAATGTCTTGATATGACACCTTAAATTTTTTGGAAAAAGCACTGAGATCACAAAGGTACGCAATATCAGTGAGGCCCATAGATATGACACCAATGGATGCAAAAGAATGGAAAGATATTACAAGACTCCTCAATCCTAATGGGATACTAAAAGAGAACAGATACAAGATCAGCTTTCTCTTTGCATCTGCGTCACATCTTGTTATTTATTTTTATTTAAATCAGCGTGAACGTGAGCTGGACTATCAGGTTACCTGTCCCGTCTGATGTCTGACCCAAATCAAATAATAAATGTGTGGATCACAAGCCTCATGGACAGTAAAACATTTGAGCCAATTTACGAGGCAACTGCAACGAAAGTCTCTAACCCAAACTTGTGAATGCCAACCTGTAAAGACACTACCTTGTCAGTTTCAGGAACCAACACCCCCCCCCCCAAACAAACATTCTCCGTCGAATATCCCTGATCTACCCAAATGTAAGTTTAAACTACAGTGGAAGAGGAAAACTGAGTGCCGTTGTAGCCCATCGATGGCAGAACTGGCAAACTGATCCCAGCCTTTTCTTCCAATATACCTAACATCCCTACATTTAAGAAGAGTATGATTGGATGGAAGCCTCCTTTGTTGGCACTAAAAAGCCTCAAGTAAGTCCTCTCTAAACCTGGACTTGTTTGTGAACAGACAACCTTTAGATCATCTCTTGAAACTAAGAAAAAACAAGCTGTGCCTCTACCTTCAGAACTATAGATCACTTGGTGACTCCAATCTCACCTTTAAAGCATGGGGAAGCCCTTTGGATGATGAAAACTGAAGATGACTAAAGGAACAACATGGTGTGGTCTGATTATAAAGCCTTCAGAAATTCATTCTGACATTGGGGGGGGAAAATGCATTGCCTTCCTGCACTTGTGAAAGAGGGATGATAGAAGACTTGATCTGATCTCTTAACGTCGTCCAACATTTGGCTCCTCTGTCAATCACTGAGTAAATGAAGAGAGCACTGATTGATTCAGGGTACAAAAATAGGAGTAAAGGAGCATGGACATTCCATGGGTTTTTTGTAAGTACCCAAGCGATGCGTGGCTTTTTGAATTGTCAGCATACAAAACAGTTTTGTTCATTACTGGTTTAAATTGCATTACTTAAGAGCCGCCAGGCTTTCTTTTAGTTTGTACTAGAGGTCTGTTTTTATTCAGAGATTTCAAGTTATTTATGTTCAGAACTGGTGTTCTCAACACCACCTCTGTGACTTTCTCCTCAGATCTTCTCCCATAGAGAAACGTGATCTTGTCGTTTTGTCGCACTGGCCACCAGGACCGAGCTCCTCCAAGGACTGCTCGCCTCCAAAGGGCCGTAGCCCAAAGTCAAAGAGTGGTAAGTCAGGTTTTTGTGTACTTGTCTTATTTCTAATTTTTTATTTTAATTTTCATCTGATAATCTGTTGAAGGTGTCAACTGTTTTAAGTAGTGTCTTCAAATGTTTTTTGTTTGTTTTAGATCACAGTTCAGATGCCGATACCACACCAAACAGACGCCTCTCTAAGTCAAGTGATACCAGATCTTCTCCTGAAGACAGAAAACAGGAATATTTGGACAAGAGGTTCTTTAGGTACATTGGAAAGAACTATGCCAGTGTTCGAGGCGGTGTTCTTGCTTTACTGGGAGGTTCAGTCTTTTTCAAAGACTGCTGTAACAGCCTCATGCTCTTTTAGTTGTATGGGAAAAATGTATGATTTCACAGAAGCATAAAAATAAGGTATTCCTCAGATTTCTGATGGCTATTTGTTTTTTGTAGGCCTGTTAATATGATGCATGACAGCTACAGACCTGGGAGACCCTTAAGGAAAGGACCCGGACCCGGACCCATGCAAGTGAGTGAAAGAAACAGTGCTGAAGAAAAGATCATCCATAAAGACAGACTGCTCTAAATGTACAGTAATAATCAGAAACTTGTGTAAAACAATGTCAGTCTGCATTAATAAGTTAAAGTAATTATAATTAAATATATTTGCAAGATCAAATATGAAAGAAACTAAATAGTCTGCATGTTAATGTAGATGTTTTCAGTGAAATCATAAAATTTAATGCTGGGCTATAAAACAATCAGAGTACTTTATTAAAGGGAAAGAATGTCAGTGTTGAAAATTGTAGGCTTTTAAATTCAGACATGTCAGACATTACTTAAGGGTGTCGTTATGCCACCACAACAGCCAATCATAATGGACATGTTTCTGTTATCTGCAAAAGGACATGTGCTAAACCTGAAGCTAAGTATTCTTATCCAAATACTTGTATTGTAGAAAAAGTAAATGTGTGCGGTGACTGAAAGAAAGCCTAAATGATGTTAGCTGCTGTTCTCAGATTTTCAAGACATGATTAATAATGCTAGATATTTAATTTGTTCTCAAACTTAAAACAAAAATCATAAGTTTCCCAATTTTCAAGGACATTTTATTTTAACATTTATTTTTGATAAGTTTAAGAGTTGGTGAATAGACTGGTTATTGCAGCTAGTAATGCAGACCGATTTCTCTTTTGTGATAAAAGTTTTGTCCATATCAACCAACTCTGACTATATTGAGCTTGCAGAGGTATGAAGATAAACTATTATTAACACTTTATAGCATCCTGACATTGAAACTAGTTTAAAAAAACAGCAGTAATGTTTTGGAAAATGTAAAACTAATTTGTATTGTGATTACAGTACAATGACACAAATGTTGTATATACTCAGCTTTTACCATTGTGCTTTTACAGAGAACAAAGTTCACTGGTGGTCCACGGAGGATGGGCCCTGAACTGTCTGGGAATTTTAGAAGACCACTCATGGTAAGTAGAGAGATCATCTCTCTTGTTGGAAAAGAAGCATTCGTTCTTTAAAACGAATTCTTCATTACATGTTTGTTTGTTTTTGAAAAAGGAGAGCTTGGTGCCGCGTCCTTTCCCGAATCAGAGACCAGTGTTCAGAAAGAGTTACAGTATCGTGTCCAAATACCGTAACATGAGAGTGATGCGTCAGCGCGCACCGTACAACCGAGGACCCAACCAGCAACGGTGGTGATGACCACTAGTGAGTTGGGAAACATCAGTGGCTTCAAGTTTGATACGTGCTTCAGATGCAACACGTAAGAAGATTCTAAAGATTTTTTTTCTTCTTTTTCTTGTATAGGTCCTACGTTCAGCTAACATGGATGGAGAAAAATTCTCATCAAGCTCTTTGCTGTCAGGGGGACTGCAGAAAGCTTCACTACAATCCCATCCTGCATCGTGAAAGCTTTTTATTCAATTTATTTTGGTGTTTTACTTTATTCTTTGTAAAAGTACTGCAGTATTTTGGTTGACATTGTCTGTAACATAGGCCATTGTATTATACAGCCCTGCTTTTTCCTCTCTTCAGATGATTTGGTAATTGCTGCTTGTGATTTTATGGGAGTCCTTGTTTGGGGTTTTTTGTTTGTTTTTGTTTTTTAATACCAACAGCGTCACATTTCAGATTTAAGTACAAAAAAAAAAATCTCTTTAGTATCTGACTTTTACTGTCCATAAAGACCCACGATGAGATGTCTTTGATTAGAAAACAGTCTCAGTGGACACTTGGGTACTACTTGTAAAATGTGTTTAAACACTTTCAATAAAATGAGATTAAGCACTCAGTCTCAGCCTTTTTCCCAAACAACATTAACAGTGTACAACATTTAAAAATAATACAATGATTTTCATACTGTGTAACCCTTTAATGAGTGCAAAGACCTCGGTGGATACAGGTTTTGGGAATCGATGCCACAAATGTTTAAATCAGATGCTGTAGATTTCCTGTTTTTTGTTTGTTTTTTTTCCCTCCCGTTTCCTACAAAAATACAGACTATCCTGTAATTATACATTTAGAAAATAAGTGGGATTTTTTTCTTGTATTAGTCCTTTATTTATCTAGGTAAAAAAAATCTGATATTAAAAATCTCATTTCCAAGAGAGACCTGGCAACAGAAGTCAAAATACACGTACCACATAAGTATATAACATTTAAAACATACAATATCCCGTACAAACGTAAAGAATACACAATAACAGAACAAATTAAGAGCAACATTAAAAACAATCACACTGAGTAAAAGTTATTTTCTCTGAGGTTTATTTTAGTAATTCACAGAAAGTGTTCTTGTACCTTGGTGAAGTTTGCGTGGCAATGGGGGTTGGGGGTCTTTATTGATAGGAAAAGCTAATGAAAATACAGTAAAAAGTTCAAAATCTTCACATTTCCTAAAGCTGTACATTTGATAGGCTTTATTATTTTCACTTAAAATGTTAATGTAAATGGTTAAATATTACTGATATTAGCTGCTAAATATTATACATCTTTTAAAGTTGGGGCACTGTGAAATTAGTCATTAGGCATTATGACAAATGCCATGTCCTGAAGCAGTTTTTTCCACCTCAGAACAATTTTCATACTAATTTTTCCAGAGGTCCATCAGATCTAGAGAAAGCCATGTGTGCCTTTGTTAACCTTAGACTACAGCATTGTAAACAACTAGTGAATCATCTCTTACAACTATTCTAAAAATGCTGCAGCCAGACTACTAACTGCAACAAAAAAAAAAAAAAAAACGAGATCACATTACTCCAGCGTTAGCAGTCCTGCACCGGCTCCGTCCCTTACAAAGTAAAGTGATAGTACTTGTGTTTCAAGCTTTAAATGGTCTTGGTAGAAATGCATATGTACATATACTCCCTCAAGATTCTAACCTAATCACTCCTGACCCATCCTACAGCTGAAAGGTATACAAAAAGGGGGTCCTGGCTTTCATCTTGTGGCACTGACACTTTGGAATGACCTCCAAAGTGACCCCAGACAGCTCGATGCTTGCCTGAGGTCACTTTTTAAACCTAAGCTGAAGAAATATCTTTTTCTTCAAGCATTCGACAACAGCTGATCTCTGGAGCTGTGACAGGAGGACAGTCTGTTGTTGTGTTATGCGAGTTGTGTGAATGTGTGTAGAGGGAGTTTGGAAACTCTTCTGTTTCCTCTTTCTTTTTTTTTACTCACCGTTTTACTAACTCATTCACAAGAATGTCCTTTTATGAAGACATTATTGCAAACCTTACGTGGATATGCCTCTAGCGTTTTGAAACGACTGTTTTGAAACAGCTTGTGAGAATTAAACTGAAGTCGTCAACCTTCTAGATTTTTTGTTTTTTTGCATCGTTTGTGCGTTTAAACAACTGTCAGCCGTCAGTCTGTGACGCCGCTGATATTTGGGAGCAGAATGGGGGGGCTCTGCTCTAAACTTAGACCGGACAGCACCACTCTTCATCGCAGCATACTCTGCAGACCACTGTGGATTACAATGGGTGGTGTCGAGTTACCGCAGATGCTGCTTTATCTCAGCGGCGAAGCTGGAAAAACAAGGTGAGCGTGCGCTCCGGATCGTGGCTTTAACTGACAATAATCTGGTAATTGGTTTAGTATGTTTACTAATCTGTCACTGTGCTCCCTACTCTGCACTGGCTCCAGCATGTGTTGCCCATTAGTTCACTGCTGTGGCATGAGAGAAACAGCTGCCTCTGCTCTTACACATTTAGTCTCTCTCTCACACTCACTGATAAAGAAATACTTCTGCTGCTGGGCTGATTCATGACAAAGAGCACAGATCTTTTAAAGAAGCAGCACGGTGTGAGACTGCACTGAGCTGACAGGTTTCTGTTGATTTGTGTCCCACTGACTTGCTCCCATTTGTCATTTGTAGATGTAGACTTAAGGGCACTGCAGGGTTTTTCTGTCTTTCACTGTATTCTTCTCTGTCACGATGGGCAGCTATAGTTCAGCCCTCATTCCCGGTAAGCCTTGCAACTATTGTTTGTTACATATATTGAAATGCTACTGTGCTCGGATGCTGCATGTCTGAGGCAGAATGTTAAGCTAGACTTTGAAAATGTGCAAAAGAAGGAGCGAGATGTCTAAGAATGACCATTCAGTGACTTCCAAGCTCTGCGAGGTGTGTTTTAACATGTAATCTCCATTTCTCTCAAAGACACTGAGGAGTTTGTGTCAGTTGTGTCTATCACGGACAAGCTGAATGCGCACGCAGCTCATGCTGTAGATGAGAGGTTACAGTCAGAGCTTCGGACTCTGGGAAGTATACATTTTTAATGAAAGCCATCTACAAGCCAAGCCATTCCATTTCTTAATCGTCCAGTTTGTTTATAGCTTGGTGCTGTGTTTGAAAAGAGTGTGTGGTGTGGTCTGCTTGTGTCACTCTGTCCTTGGGATAAATTTAACTTTTCTGAGCTGCCCCATACACACACAGAGAGACAAGTAGAGACGCAGAAGATATCTACTTTGACTCCTTACTTAAAACAAAGTTAAAAGGTACTTGCCCTGTAGCGAATCGGTCCCCTTTTTTGTAATCGTGTTGAAAATCATCTTCGGGGACTAAGAAACACCAAAAGCTAGAACGACATGTGACCATTTAATGTATTTTACTTATCAGACGTCTCAAACTAGACTTTATTTTACAGGTAACACTCATGATGGAGGAGGAACGAAAGAAAACCCAGAGTGAAGTAAAGAATTCGCTGCCAGAAGGAACTCAACAAACAACTCAGAATGGATCCATCCCGCCTGTAAGTGCACTGCTCAAAAACTGAATGAAATTAACACTTTTTAATCAGAGCATAGCATCAAGATAATTAAACTTCTAGAATATTGACCAGAGGGAGGTTGTTAATCAGTTTCAGCTGCTTTGCTGTTAATAAAATTAACAACAGGTGCACTGAGGGCCAACAAGGAGACACCAGGAATGGTTTTACATGGTGGAGGACACTGACATTTTTCCTGAGTGTTTTTTCACTAGTTTTGCATTTGCCTAGGGTCACTGTCACTACCAGTAGCATGAGACGACACCTGAACACTACATAGGTTGCACAGGTAGTCTAACTGCTCCAGGAAAGCACATCAATATAAGCCATTGCCAGGAGGCTTGCTGTGTCTCCCAGCACAGTCTCAAGAACACGGAGATTTCAGGAAACGGGTAGTTACTCCTGGAAAGGAGCATAGAAGGTCCTTAACCCATCAGCAGGACCGTATCTGATCATCTGTGCAAAGAGGAACAGGATGAGCACTGCCAGCGCTACAACATGACCTCCAGCAGGCCACTGATGTGAATGTCTCTGAGCAAACAATTAAACTGATTCGTGAGGCTGGCCTGAGGGCCCAACGTCCTCCATGGAGCCAACTGGTATTTGCCTTAGAATACCAGAATTGGCAGGTCCATCGCTGACCCCTTGTGCTTTTCACAGATGAGAGCAGGCTCACCCTGAGTGTGAGAAAGACGTGAAAGGGCCTGGAGAAGCTGTGGAGAACGCTATTCTGCCTGTAGTTCAACATGACTGGTTTGGTGGTGGGTCAAGGAGGCCTCGGGAGGCATATCCATGGAGGGGCACACAGACCTCTTCAGGCTAAAAGGCAGTACCCTGACAGCCGTTAGTTATCAAGTCCTTGGATTGTCAGACCCTATGTCGGTGCAGTGTTCCTGTGGGTTCCTCGTGGTGTTTCACAATGTGTTGAGAAAATGCAGACAGTTCCTCCTCCAGGGAAGATCCCACAGCACACCACACTTTGATGGGTGATGAGTGTCTTTGAATTCGGCCCTTTGTAGGTTGATCATTTTTATTTCTATTTCACAATGTGGCATCATCATTCATCATGCAGTCTTTATCAGTAGAAATATCAGCACAGTTTTTTCCCTCCCATTGAGATCTGATGTGTTTTCAAAGTGTTCCTTTCATTTTTATTTGTTTTTTCGAGCAGTGTATAAAATAAAATGCTAAAGGTCGTACAATCCACAGCTGTTAAACTGCAGTAAATGACAACTTCTTATATTTCGTTTGTGTTTTCCACAGGCATTAGAAACCAAAACTATGCCCACAGAGTCTTTCTCCTCTCTCCTGCCAAAGGCTATCTCTGCTGTGCTGCACCCAGCTCCGCCTGCAGGCATCAACTCACAGCCCAGCAGAAATCCAGAAGGGCACGCCTCGCCAAACCTGGAACAACTGCAGACAGAGCTGAGAGACCTGAAGGGCCAGTTTGAACAGATGAAGACTCAGCACAAGTATGGCTGTCTTTCCCTAATTGCACATTAGCTATAAGTTGTAGACATCTGCACAGTTTTCTGCTTACCTGCTCATCCTCACTCTGGAGGGCATTTGACACTCCCAGCCCAGCATCAGTACCAACCAACTGTAGTTTCAGTCAGGTTTTTGCTGTGCTAATTTAACAACATTGTGTTATTCCAGCAAAGAAATCAAACTGCTGATGAATGAGCTGGATGAGGAGAAAAGGATTCGCTTAACGTTACAGGTAAAGTGGCCGAGGATAATAAAATTTAGTAACATCGTATTTCAATGGGCGTAAACACTTCAAGGTGGGAAGATTTATCATGATTTGATTTTTTTCAAAATCCAATTTTTTTCCATTTTAGATGGAAATTCAGCGAATGAAGAAGCACATGTCTAAATGAGCAAAGACGACTATTCTTTCATCAGATTTCTGATTTACCGTTTCTTTTTGGACTGCTGAGTGGGCTGACCCAGAGGGCTTAATATTTTTACTGAGTCACTGGTGAAAGTGCAAAGATGGAAGCAGACATAAAGACGGAGGCTGCAGCAAACTGTCCTTTCCCTCTGGAGACGACCGGCGCAGTTACACATCAAACATCTTGTTTTTTTCTCGTCACGTCACCAAAGGCATTCATAAACATTCTTACCGGGGAACTGTAATCTCACATTTTGAGTTTTCCAGGAGATTTCACTTATCACCGTCCATTAAGAAAATGATTGGTGGCAATATGTACTACGGCATAATTGAACTGCATTTTTATCCATTGTGACAGTGACTCAGAGAGAGAGAAGGATGAGAAATGACAAGCAGCAGTTCATTTACAGAGACTCAAGAGTTTGTTTATAATAATGTAATATGGATGAGCACACAGATTTTAGGCTTGTAAAAAGAAAAAAAAAATAGCACTTGTTTTCCTTTCTGATTGCACAAAGAATGTAAATTTACTGGGTGCTGATGTGCATTGTGTGTTTATTCAAAATAAATATAGTTACTACTGATATATGTATGCTGAAAATTTATATTGGCATAAAAAAGTAAACAGGAATAAAAGCAAAGACAAGCAACACAAAACAAAAACAAAAGGCCTAAAGGGAATAAAATCTATCAGTCGTACATTATGTGTTCGACAGGGGCTGTCAACGTTAACGGGTTAACACAGATTAATCCGTCATCACAATTAAAAAATTTGGTAAATGGCCTGCATTTGTATAGCGCTTTACGCAGTCCCTAAGGACCCCAAAGCGCTTTACACTACATTCAGTCATCCACCCATTCACACACACATTCACACACTGGCAATGGCAAGCTACATTGTAGCCACAGCTGCCCTGGGGCGCACTGACAGAGGCGAGGCTGCTGGACACTGGCGCCACCGGGCCCTCTGACCACCACCAGTAGGCAAACATGGGGTTAGTATCTTGCCCAGCCAGGAGGCAGCCTGGGATCGAACCACCGGCCTCCTGATTAGTAGCTGACCTGCTCTGCCACCTGAGCTACACCCATTTTAACGCAATTCACCCATCTGGAGCGTTAATCGCGTTAATCGTGACGCCGCGTTAACGTTGACAGCCCTACTTTTCTATCAAAAAAGGTAAATATGTTAGTATTTTTTCACTCATTTGTGACAGATAATCTGTCTAATTCACATTACTGGTCTAGTCATCCATCTTCCACTTATCCAGTTCAGAGGTGCAGGGGGCCAACCAGTCTATCGCACTAACAACTGGGACGGACAACAGTCCACACTCAAAGTTACACCGACAGCCAACTTAGACTCAATCACCAGTTAACCCAACCCCCAAATAACTGTGGGACAGTGCAAACTGCACATAAAAGTCCCAGCGAGCCAGTTGGCTCAAACATAGACCTTCTTACTGTGAGGCAACATTGTGTTATTTTGTTTTGTTTTAGCAGTGCTGGTCTTTTCATGAACAATTCTGGAAGAACTGTAGAATCAGCCGAATCTCTCTCCATACATGCAGTGAAATGTTATGCAATTTTTCTCCCCTTTAGAAGTTGGATTCTTCACAGGGAATTGGCCTGAAGGTGACCTCTTTGTTCTCCTCGAGAAGGACGTCATATCGACACAGAGGCCTGTGAGGGGAAAAACCAGACACGTCGGTAAATCTACAGCTGGGAGATATAAGAAGTGCTTCAACAAAGAAACCAGCTGATGCTGCGTGTCATTTCTTAAAGGTAAAATTTTAGCATACCCCTGTGCTTTATTCCCTTTAGGTTCCAGGTTTTTGAGACGGATTCGGAGAATTCTGAGCTTACGTTTGGGCTGCAATACATTCCCAGTGGAGAATTTAACAGACACCTTTTCCACCCACTGAATGTCTTTGTCAAACGCAGCCAACAGCTCGGTGTCTGTGAACTTCTTGAAATTTAAGGATTTACTAATACGAGGGGGAAAAATACATTAGTTAGAGAAGGTAGTAACATGGAGATAAAGACAAATCTTGGCTATATATGGAGAGGAGACTTACTGGTCAATGGTTGCCTGTGCTTGTTTACCATTGCCATGAAGTTTAACAGTCAAGTATCCCCACTGCACATCCTTGTTCCATATCACCACATCTATCCTGTAGTTTGTCACTGAGCAAAGACATGACATTTTTTAATTCAAGTCTTTTGTTTTGAACTATAAAACACACTTAACCTGTCTTGCTTCTCTGGCTCATTCCCCATTTCAAGGGTTATAAACATAACTGTTCATTTAGATTTTTTATAAAAAAAAAAACAAACAAATAAATTCCTCATGGCATAGAATCAACAAGGTGCTGGAAACATTCCTCTGAGATTTTGGTCCGCATTAACATCACAGCAAAACACAGTTACAGCAGATTTGTCAACTGCACATTAAGGATATAAAACTTTCGTTCCACCACATCCCAAAGGTGCTTTGTTGGATTGAGATCTGGTGACTGTGGAGGCCCTTTGAGAAGAGTGGACTAAATGTCATGCTCAAGAAACTAGTTTGTGATGATTTGAGCTTTTTGACACAGCGTGTTATCTTGCTGGAAGCAGTGGTCATAAAGGGATGGACATGGTCAGCAACAATAATCAGGTAAACTGTGACACTCAAATGATGCTTAGTTCATAATATGGGCTCCAAAGTGTGCCAAGAAGATATCCCACACACCATTACACCAGCACAATCTGGGATATCTCAAAAATAAGGCAGGAAAGATCAATATTATCATGTTGTTTATGCCAAATCTCACAGCAGACAACGACACTCCTGAGACCTGGTAATGTGTTTCCAATCTTCATTTGTCTAATTTTGGTGGACCTGTGCACACTTTAAACACAGTTCCCTTTTCTTAGCTGATAGGAGAAAGACTTTCTGATTCTGTTGCTGTGGCCCATTTGGTCTGACATGTTGTGAATTCAGAGATGCTTTTCTGCATACCTTTATTTGTAAAGAGTGGTTACTGTTGCTTTCCTAACAGCTCAAATCAGCCTGGTCATTCTACTCTGACCTCTGGCAAATGTACTAAATGCACCGAGATGCTGTCATGTGATTGACTAATTAAATATTTTCTTTAATAACAAGTTGAACAGGTGTACCTAATAAAGTGGCACATTAAAATGTGTTAAACCATTGAGAAAAGTATAGTTCTACCACTAGGTGGCAGTGCAGGCTGACAATCAGATTGTATGCTGTATTGAAATTAAGGATTTCTTTTATAGCTTACTGATCATTAGTAAACTGTTACTCACTGCAGTATGGAGATTTTTCGTTTGTTCTGAAGTAGGCCTTTGTTTGGCTCTGTTCCAGCAGGATGTCTTTCCATTTTATGACGTCATAACCTGGGTTAGGTTAAAACACCTGTGTCAGTGCTGAATAATACACTGTAAAATCTAAAGAAATAAAATACAAACTGGCAAAATGTGCATATTTGGATTTTCGTAACTGCCTGTTAGTTGACAGAAAATTTAATCTGTGTGTTTTTCATCACCAACCTAAAATAGGACATCCAGCATTACCAAACTGACTGCAGGTTAAGCATTTGCCATCCAGAAAGTCTTTATAGGACGAGCAGGGGTAGGTCCTGCTGGTACATGTGGCATTTATAGAGTCAATGAAGAGGAACACCGATCTCCGGTGGTCACATTTAAGATACTGTCCTTTTCAGGGATGAGAAAGTAAATTGTTAACATAAAGTTCTGTTCTTTATACCAAAAGTTTCTTAAACTTACTGATCTTACCTGAGAAAATAGTCTTCGGGCAGCCGGGTTGGTCTGCTCCTCCATTGGCGTAGAAATCAATGTGACCTAAAGGTTCCCGGAAACCCAGCACTGTAATATAACAATAACAAATTGACACATATACACAACGTGTATGCCTGTTTTGTGTAAAGAAAAGAAATTCTTCATAATAATAAATAAGGTGATTGACTGACAATCCATGTCCGTGTGCAAGGCATCCACAAACTGTGCATCTGAAGAGTCCAGTCGGTCCTCTGGGTTTTTGCCTTTGAACCCTGGCCCAGCAGGATCCAGTGCTGCAAACATCACAGTAGAAAACATCAGTCGAAAACAGAATGTTGACCTCACTTAAATATTCCGACAACACCTAGGACGAGCGCTTATCCCAGCTGACCTTCATAGCTGTCTCCTTTTCTCATTTTTTTCTACGTATCTTTTTTTTCATGTGACAGTTTTTCCCTGCTGTTTTAAACCAGATATTCTCAGTGAGCCTCCAGAGAATTAGCGTGATCTTTGAACGTCATCTCTCCTCAGGGAATTTTACCAAAACTGTGCCGCTTTTTTCATGGCGACTCCAACCCAGGCAAAACCCGAAGCACGGTATGTTCCTTTGAGTCCACAACTCAACCATGACAAATAACACATTGTTCATACACTCTGCAACTTTTATTAAACCCTTCAGCACCAGTGGCTTTAACTCCTTTTGCTATTAGTGACTTCTAAAGTTGGAAATCTAGGAATTAAAAGCTCAGTCAAGAGCCACTACAAAATGTCACCCTTAAGCACGTCAGCTTCCAAACGTCATGCAAACTTCTCAATGGGACAAGTTCTTAAGAAGTTTTCTTCTCCTTTAGATTGAGTCAAATAAGATTGTTCTTAAGACCTGAAACATAAATTAGGCTCGCTTTACTATTGGCCTGTTTTAGAGGGATTTAAAACAAGTAAAAATACCACTTCAGGTTTTAATTCTATATCAGGAAGTGGAAGTGACGTCAATGTAAGTGCCACTCTTACCTGTTATTCTTCCAATTTCTCCCTTCAAGTTAGCGCCCGTAAAGCCTGATATGTGAGCTCCTAGACTGACACCAATCATGTGGATGGAGCTCAGATCGGCTCCGTGCTCCTGAAAAAATATCAGTTTTAGAATCGCTAGACACTACACACTCTGACATTTGAAATCAGACAACTTGCCATACCTGCAACATGTTAATCAAAGCTGTGATGTTGGATGCTACTTTGCGTGTGTTCTTCACTGCTTCCCAATATTTCAGAGTCGCAGCACCGTAGTTCCAGTCTACCACTATAACGTTTATGTCTTTCCTGACCAGCAGACGCTCAGTGAGCTTATCGAGCCATTCCGGTGGAGATCCAGTAGGCCGATACCCATGAATGATGAAGGTGGTCGGTTTTGACGCATTAAATTGGGGGTAGGCAGACAGGTCGGTGTGGGACATAAGGGTACCACATGTCCCATTTAATCTAGTGTATAGCAACAACCGAACTTTGAGGCTGGTACCAATGATTGAGTGACCAAGATTCAGATCGGTAAATTCGTCGCATTTCTCAGCTGGTGAGAGATAAAAAACAAAACAAGACAGATGCATTCAGGTAAATAAGATATTATGTAATTGATCTCTGCAGACATTGCATGGGAAAGATTGCACAACATCTAAATACTATACGTCTAAACTTTGCGCCATCTTGAGAGGCATGTGTCATATATATATATATATGTTGTAGATCTTGTCTTTTAATACTGCATTTTTAACGGGTTTTGAATTTGTATCGCTGCTACCTTGGCCACATGTTTCTCGTAAGAGATTTAAC